TTCAAGTTGAAATGAATTTCCAGTCAATGTGAAATGAACACGTTTGAAACACGACGATTTTCAAATCAACATGAATTCTCTAACATTATCAACTTGAAACATACTTTGTTTCATATATATTCTGGTGTATGATTTGGATATAGGAGGAAGATGGGTGAGGGAGGGTAGACATGATGATTGAATCACTATTGTATACTGAAGGGTAGTATAATTCATCACCTTATGGTCACTATACTATAGTTGAAGTAAGTTTAACGCTTCATTTTGATGTGAACATTTTTCATGTTGAGATGTGAAACTGCACTTGTGAAATCTTATAATATTTCTGCATTTCACATTGACTGGAAATTCATTTCAACTTGAACGGGAAGTGGTGTATAGTTGAAGTAAGTTTATGAAGTGAACATTTTTCATGTTGAGATGTGAAACTGCACTTGTGAAATCTTACAATATTTCTGCATTTCACATTAGGTCACCAAACCAGTTCGTCACATATTTCGGAAGAGCATGAAAGTTTCAGTGAAAGCCTCGTTTATATCCAATATGCTTTAGCTACTGATGACTTGCTCTGGTATTTCTGAAGAATTAGAGTGTTTTCCTCATGAGTCTGCATTTCAGCAATATCCAAGTCATTTCCAAAATGACTCGATAGTAAGCGATAACTGAGTAGATCGGAATCAAGGACAAAGTTTCCATAATTAAATAGTTCAGATATATTTATACTTGTTGTTTGTGTGCATTGTATTATTATTACTCTATTGCATACAAAATTCAAATAATTGATTAAAAACCACATGTATTTATCAGCGGTGACTACTCGCCATGGGAGGTGAAGTACGGCTGGCGCGGGCAGCTTCCGTCGCAAACCGCTCTGTACGGCGCTGTAGGTATCTGCGTTGGTTCGCGGCTCTCGTTGAGGTTTTCTCAGCTACCACACACTTGTAGCGTGCCATGACGGCACGATAGTAGTCATTGTCCTCGAGGCGCAACGGCATCACACTTCCAGGACGGCTTCGCCGTATTCATTCAGGCTTTGATGGAGGTCGAGGATATCCGAGGCAGTCTGGTCCTGGAGGCGCTCCATCATAGACGACACATTGAGACGCATGGTGCACAGGAGATGAATGAGATGAATTATGAGTTACGAGTAAAGGAATGGTTAGAA